AAGGGAATTATCCCATTTATGTGATTTGAAACCAACCAAAAATGAATAAAAAGAGGAATATGGCCGACTTACTGTGATTTTACTGGCTCGGCGACCATAACAGGCAGCATGGAGTAGACGTCTCCCATAATTTGAGGGTATCTGAAAGTATTTCATTTATTACCATAGCAGGGAACGAAAATATACCACACTGACATTGAGAGCGAAACTATTTCCGAATTTTTCACTTATAAGCTCTTAAATTTTTACGAATTTCTAAATTTCAATGTGAAGCGAAAAATGATTAAAATTCCGACTTCTTACGGTGGCAACCAAGGTAGCCGATGAATACGTAGGCCTTACCCTTTATTTCCAGTGATTCCCCTTTAACTTCACTCAGTGATCTCAGACGATTGCACCCATTTTGAGCAGAGTATCCCTGTTTTGAGAAACATTTTCTGCTTGGAATCGAAATGAATATCTCTCCATGCCCCTTCCTTCTTTTTAGCGCTGAGACTTTCATTACTTGACATGACCCGAACACGTCTGCAGGGAGGTCGAATTTTTTCAAATTAGGATTTGATTTTTTGATGATTGTATGATGATTTTTTTCAAAACACCCCTGTGAATCGCAAACCCACCGAGTCTCTGTGTCTGGATCGAATACATTTTGATTTTGTAGTTGTTCGCACAATGGAATGACGTATTCTTTGCTCATTGATTGACGAGCACTGGCATGAGTTTGTAGATGAATTGCGATGAGCAGGTCGTGGTATCCTTGACGCATAGGGCCGGACAGATCTGAACAGCAATATATCGTACACTTCGAAATCTACCACGACGATGGAGCCTTATTACGATATTTGAAATCCTAGAATTTAAAAAATTAACAAAACTTTATGGTTCAGAAATGGGGGGTAGCTAGAAACCTCAGAAAATACCACGAGCATAATTTGCACGCAAAAACATTTTTTCATATAAATCTGTTCAACTTACAGTGACTTTTCACGGCGTACATGATCTGGTCTTCGTCCACATGTGAGCACAGTATATGGGCCACCTGAAGAAAGCACGTGTTTCTGTGAATCAGTACGCATCAATAAGCTAATCGATCAAGCTATCTTGGGATCTTATTTCTATATACGGTAGGAATTTAATTTGATAACTTTTTTTAGTAGCAACACGAAGACCAAAATATGGGAGAGCATTTCATTCTGATTGGCTGTAAATCCCCTAACAATCATTCGGTCCGGCTGACCCACTCAAACCTACTTATGGGAGCTGTGGAAGCACTGCGCAAAGAACTTCCTATGCTGTCAAAGGTATGTGGTGTCGTAGTTCGGAACCTTTGTTTCGTCTTGAGATGCTCTTAAATCTCAATAGTCCATCTAGTTATCGCTAAAAGACGATTTCGTTCGAAATTCGCATAATTAGGTTGGTGGCCGGGACTGGAATAACAACAGAGTTACCGAATTTCTTGAAAAGTTATCATACCTTTTGGTTGCCATGGCTTGTCAGTTTGCAGTAAAGATTGAGTGTTTGTCGGTGGAAATCGAGGAAAACTGGTTTTTCGATAATTTCCAGAATGTCGAATGATTCGTCCTTCTCCGGTACGTAGACGGTCATGATACGAACCGGATCGTCGCAAAGAACAGACCATCCTAAAAACGCTGTCGTCTCAAAGCAAAAAAGGGCGGCGTCACGAAGATGTCAGCAAGTTTCTTGTAGGAACAACGATCTCTACAGATGAAGCAAAGAGAGTGTGAACATTACAACAGTCTCATTCCACACCTCGAATATCGCTAAGCTTCAGGGCCGTCGTTCGTAGAGTTTCGTTCGGTACACGAGCCCAATACACCGGTTGCAGACACTGGACGGTAAGACGTGGTGGACAGAATGGCACCAATGACTTTTGGCACGACTTGAACATCGCAGCCGAAATCGGGAATGTGAACTGAAAACAATTCAGCATTTTTCAATCTTTCTCTTCAAAATGGATGGTACAAATTAATTTCTTGAACAAAATGTAAAAATTAAAAACCAGAAGGGGAATTGAAACAATGGTAACAATATCGGCGCCGAAAGTTCTGTCTAGTCCAGCAGGGCTTGATATTTACAATAAGTAATGGCGGACAATTTTTTACAATACTCAAAAATACTTGAATATTAGGACTGATTGAAAAATAGTTTGTCGCCGATACAAGTATAGTAACTAACCTTGACCCGACCAAGCTCGAACTGAAGAATCTCAACAGTCGTTGGAGTGAAGAACGCTGCGGGAAACAGCATTGCACCGGGTTCGAGCTGGAATCATCCTCATTTATAGTAATACTTATCGGGAAAAATCGAAGAACAAGATGGCCAACCAGCTTTTCGAAACCCGGTAGAAAACTGACAATTATTCCAACCAAACCCACTTTTGATGAGGGGAAACAGCACTGCACCTGCCTACACAGCGCAGTGTGGTAATGTTTCGAAACAATGCAAAATAAAACCTTAGTTATGAAGTGATTTCGTACTAGCTAGAAAATCTGATTCACGGTGGCCCTGTTCTTTTGGGGTATTGCTTTTTCCAAGTGTAGGCCGGTGTCCAGCTCGCTTCGCTAGTAGCGAATGAGCGAATCGCTAGCGGACCGCTCGATTCGCAAAGTCTGACACCGGTCCTACCATTAGAGGCGTTACCTGGGATGTGGTCGTCGCACAGTTTCAATTTTGATCGTGTGACCTGTAATTGGCCAGAAATACTGACCAAGTGACGACCTCAGCTTGGAAATTAAGGGACCCTCATGATTCTGGAGTGAATTACGTAATTAGTCATTAGACTCCTCCAGAGCCATTTTGCGGATAAGATTGCTGGATCAACGATCGCAGATAACAGGCTATTCTCGGGTCTCACAATGCGTGAGCGAGAAGATCAGGACTTGGACCATAAAATAGCTAGCCACTAATTACCATTGTCAGTGGAAAAAAATGTGGGGAAACTACTGGAAACTAAAATGAGACCCCTTGTTTTCTGAGCAAATCTGTGAAACTATGTAGCAGTTTTGTGCACTAAGGCAACAGAACAACAGAAGGAGACAGGATATCACAACGAGGAGCGCTGTACAGCTACCGCAACAGTGGTTGACTTCAAGCCCACGGGGCGTACGCTGGTCCAAGTCCTGATCTTCTCGCTCACGCATTGTGAGGCCCGAGAATAGCCTGTAATCTGCGATGGTTGATCCAGCAATCTAATCCGCAAAATGGCTCTGGAGGAGTCTAATGACTAATCACGTAATTCACTCCAGAATCATATAACTATGAGGGTC